GACCCCCCCCCCCCCGCCTCCCGCGCCCCCATCCCCATCAGCAGCGCTCTGGCGGTCTCTGGAAGTCCCCCTGAGCCCCGTGGATTGAAGGGAGACCTTACCTGCAGTAAGTACCTCTCAAGTCAGCCTGTGTGGGTCCCACCGAACTGCAGTGGGACACCGGTGGTCTCCAGGGCAACGGGGAAGCTAACTTTCCCTGAGCGGTGAGGTTGCCCATAACTACGGGAGCGCCCCAGGTGGAGCAGAGAAACTCTTGCCCAATTCTCTTCAATGCCATTTCTCCTCTGAACAAGGAAACACCTTAGGGCGTCAGGAATAACCAGAGTCGTATAGTAAATGTTCTAAAAGGTAGTGGGAGATAATGAGATGTAGCACCCAGCTACATGGTCAAGAAAATCCATCCTATCTTCTTTGCCTTGTTTAAAACCAACCTCTGTTGGGGGTAGCACAGGGTAGTGCTTACCTATAAGTAAAGAAGCCAAAAAACTCTCTGAAAGAGACCATCTCTTTCTCAGTGTATAAAGGCTGAAGGGCTCACTCAGAATGAAGGGCTCAAGGCTTACCGGGCCAGAGATGAAAATGCTTGTGATTGGCACCAAACGTGGCCCAGGGTCTCCCATATATAAGCAGAACAACCCCACCCCCACCCCGCGCGCGCCCCCGCCACAAAAAATAGTGGAATTATCTTTTTGGAGGGCGGGCCCCTCATAACACAGGCTTCCCTGCTAGGTAAGTGATCTATGAACCCATTAGCATCAGTGTACCAGCTAGTGTTGTGAGAGGTTGTGCTTGGCTTCAGTGATTTTTTGGTTTTTTTTGAGATTCTTTCATGTTTGCCCATTTCATGATGGGTGATTTATGAGTGCACTTGCCCACACTGCACTGAGTGTTCAGCAGTTTTTGACCAAAAATGGCGTGACTGCCTTGCCCCACCCTCCCTATTCACTGAATCTCGCCCCGAATGACTTTTTGTTTGTTTGTTTCTCTGGATGAAGAAAGTTCTCAAAGGGAAACATTTTGCCAACGTGGAAAAGACAAAACAAAAAACAGCAGAAGCACTAAAAGGCATCAAAATTGACGAATTCAGAAACCGTTTTGAGCAGTGGACAAAGCGTCTAGATAAGTATATTGCATCAAACAGAGAGTACTTTGAAGGTGACTGAAGTTTAAACATGTAAGAATAAATACACAATTTTTTATAAATAAATTCTGGGGTTCTTTTGGGTCCCTCCTCATATATATGTTACCCAGTTCTTTCTTAGAGAATCCCTCCTCTTGGCAGGAATCTCTGTTAAGATTGCTAATAAATGCTCGCTATTCAACTTTCTAGAAGAATTGATTGCTCTGTCTAAACTAGCATCAGAAATGAAGACACAGTGAGTAGAAAACCATTTGATTCTCATCCTTTGGTCCTGGGTTTTAATTACAAGGTTAAGTACTGTGACAAAGATTGGATTGATTTTAGCTGGAAAAAGAAAAAGTGTAGGTTACTGAGGAAAGAGAAAAAAACACAGTAAAACTAGGAAATGCCCAGGAATTATCTGCAGTCTCTGATACCTCTTTCCCATTCAAGAAGGCCCCAATGACTTGAGCCTTGCACATTAGAAAGTCTACTTTTTTTTAGCCGGGCTCGGTGGCTCAGCCTGTAATCCCACGCCTTTGGGAGGCTGAGGTGAATGGATTGCCTGAGCCCGCGGGTTCAAGACCCGCCTGGGCAGTGAGACCTCATCTCTACAATAAATCAAAAAATCAGCCGGGCGTGGTAGTGCATGCCTGTAATTCCAGCTACTTAGAAGGCTGAGGCGGAAGGATCGCCGCACTGCACTCCAGTGTGGGCGACCGAGTGAGACTCCAACTCAAAAAAAAAAAAAAATCTACTTTTGCTGCCCAGGTGCTTTTCTGGGTTTTAATTCCTGGCACATCTGTAACTCTTGGATTTCTTTCTTTTCTAAAAAAACAATTTGACTACAAATACATAGTCATAGATGTATCATACATGGTGTTTTGTTCTGACTAAACTCCACACTTATTGTGGATAATTTAAAAATAAATGGTAATTTAAAAATTCAATGGTGAAAAGAAAAATGACCCATATTCCCACCACTGAGAATTTACCTCCCTTAACTCCCAAGTTTCTGGGCCTTTGTGTTTGAATTTGGATCAAACATGGAAACTGTGTTTGCTTTTTGGATGGCATTTCCACTGCCCTCCCAATTTGACAGTGTTATAGCTGGAAAGACTAACCAGCTATAGATCACCAGTATAGGCTATTTCTTGTGTTTAGAAATGGGCAAGGAGGCAGAGACAGGGAATGGAAGGAGCGATAGCAGGCCTCTGATCTTATTCTTGTCTCTCAGCATCATCTTGACCTTTTCTCTCTCATTCTTCACCTTAATATCTGGAGTTCAAGTCCTTCAACTTCATTCTTCTTTAAGATTATCTTGATTATTCTCAGCCCTTTGCTTTTCTATGTAAAATTTAAAATCAGCTAGTCAGTTTCCACAAGATAGCTGGTGATATACTTTATACTGATTTATGAATCTGGTAGTCAATTTGAGAAGCAACATCTTAGTAATACATAGCAAAAAGCTAAACACGAACAAACAAAAACCCCAGAAAAACTAGAACAAAGCACCAGAATATGAAAGAAATTAATTATAAACTGGGAATAAATACTTTCAATTCATATCACCAAGGGGCTCACATCCACTGACACCCATCCTGCTCCCTTGTCCTTTTTGTGTTTGGAGTTGAGCCAGCCTCTTTCTCCTTACTGTAAAGCTCCATTGCAATTGTCCCTTGAATCAACTTTTACTTACCCTCTTTAACAAGTGTCAGAATAACTTTTCCTTTAACTCTGATTCCTTGGGGTCCTCATTTAGAGGTGGGAAGAAAACACTGCCTGGAAATGTTGGGGATGCCTCGTGAGTGAACTGCACACTCTAGAAGGAGAAATACTCTAGGAGGCAGAGGGCAAGGGAAGCTTCAAAGTTCCTTCCAGTGCTCTTGCTATCTGTGAATGCACTTTGCACCCTCCTGGGACTCTAAAGAACTGTTACCTGAGGTGACCCAAAATAAAGGTTCCTGTTTTACTTTATGGTACTCTGCTTGGGCCTGCAGTGCTAGGTCTGACCACCAAAAAGCGGGCAGCCTCCTGTATCCAAGGTGCCCACTGTGCTTTGCTGGAGCAACTGGAGCCAAGGTAGAGTTACACAAAGGTAATTCTGGCCATCTCCCACCTCAGGCTCTAGTTAAATCTCCTATGATTAGCGATCATCTCCACAGTCTCAGTTGGTCAGAAGTGAAAAAAAGGGGGCTCCAAGATTCTTTCATTTATTCATTCAGCAACTATGTACTGAGTGCCCACCCTATACCAGGTGTCCTGATAGACTCAGTTTGCAGTGCTGAAAACTACTGAGTGGCTGCTTCCTTCAGGAGCTCATTGTCTGGAGGAGAGATGGACAAAAGCATGAAAGCAAGTACATGTGAAAGAAAAAAACAAGTGCTATAGAGTAAAGTAAAATAGGTAGGGTTGAGAAGTCACTAGGGGGTGGAGGTTCAGAAAGGTCTACTGAATTGACATTCTGTGACCAAAAAGACCAGGGGCATCCAGCCCTGCACAAGTCTATGTGTGATGATTACTTTAATACATCAGCTTGACTGAGTTGGTAAAACACTATCTCTGAGTGTGTCTGTGAGGCTGTTTTCAGAAGAGAGTAGCATTTGAATCAGTAGACTGAGTAAAGAAAATCTGATTTCAACAATGTAAGGGGCAGCATCCAATCCATTGTGGGACCAAATAGAACCAAAAAGGTGAAAGAAGGGTGAATTCTCTCTTCAAACTGGAACATTCATCTTCTGCCTTTGGACATCACAGTTCCCAGTTTTGGGGCCTCTGGACTCTGGTACTTATACTAGTTGCTCCCTTGGTCTCAGGCCTTCAGACTCAGATTGAATCACCAACTTTCTTGGTTCTTTTACTTGAGCTTCCATGATCACATCGGCCAATTCCCATGTTAAATCTCATCTGTCTGTCTGTCTGTCTGTCTATCTCTCTCTCTATCTATCCTTTCTATCAATCATCTATCCCATTGGTTCTGTTTCTCTGGAGTACCCTAATACAGATTTTGGTGCCAAGAATAGTTCTAGAGAAAACGAATTTTAAGGATTAGTTTTCTAAATTGGTTTTGGAGTTTCTGGAACTGACTGTCTATTCTGTTTAGATTTAAAGATGCTAATGACTCTATTTCCAATAATAGAGCGAGCACTGATAGTTCATGTCATGAACTATTTATAGTAGTATAAATATTATGAGTACTCCTAACAATCACTTAAAAGATGAAAGGAGCTAAGTAAGTTTATATATAATACTGTCTAGCATTTTTGGAAAATGAAGAAGTACAATGATGTTGGTTGGGGGTTTTCACTGCTAGATAAAGTGGTGAAAGAAATGGATGAGGTCAGGTATTCAAATTTCAAGTTCAAAAGCCACATAAATGACCTAAGAGCATCTAAGTGTGCCCTGAGGGCAAGCCTTATCTCCTGTAGCTGCAGGACTGAAATTGCTGAAAATCAGACACTGGTTCTTATCACAGCAACTGGATGAATGATAAAACAAGTGAGTTTCCAGCCTCAAGGGGTGTCTACTGTTAAAGTGAGGGCCTTTGACAAAGAATGGGATCCTGAAAGTTGGGATGGGGATATATGAGAAGACCCTGATGAAGCTGGAGACATTGAGCCCCTAAATTCTGATGTCTTCTTGGTCAGTGGAAGAGGTCTTTCCACCCCCAGAGGCTAAAGTGGGAGGATTACCAGAGCTCAGGAGGTCAAGGCTGCGGTGAGCCAGGATTACCCCACTGCACTCCAGCATTGGTGACAGAGTGAGACTCCAACTCAAAAAAAAAAGTAATTACTGAGAATGAAGACCACACTTATGCTATTTATCTATTTGTTTTCTGTGTGTCTTTTAAGTTATCTGTTCTTCAATTCATTCATTTCAGCTATTTTTTGTATTTAGTTGATTTTTTGTAGTGTACTATTTTGATTATCTTCATGTCCCTTTTCTGTATTTTTAAAGTTATTTTCTTTTTCTTTTTTTTTTTGAGTTGGAGTCTCACTCTGTCGCCCAGACTGGAGTGCAGTGGCCGCTCCGGCCACCACAGCCTCGACCTGCTGGGCTCCAGCGATCCTTCCACCTCAGCCTTCCAAGTAGCTGGAACTACAGGCACGCGCTACCACATCCGGCTAATTTTTTTTTATTGTAGAGATGAGGTCTGGCCAAGTTGCCCAGGAGGGTCTTGAACCCGTGGGCTCAGGCAATCCACTCACCTCAGCCTCCCAAAGCGTGGGATTACAGGCTGAGCCACCGAGCCTGGTTTAAAGTTATTTTCTTAGTTGTTACCTTGGGAATTAAAATTAACATCTTAAATTTATGACCACCTAGTGTGACTAATACCGACTTGGTTTCATCTGTATACTCACACTCTGCTCCCATATATCTCCATCCCTACCCTTTATATAGTTATTGTCACAGATTACATCTTTATACATTGTGTGCCCATTAACATATACATATAACGGTTGCTTTTTGCTTTTGCCTTTTTTAACCATAGAGGAGATAAAGACATTCTAAGCCAAGTGAACAATAATACTGGGTCTTATATTTATTTATGAAGTTACCTTTATCAGCAATCTTTTTTCTTCACATGACTTTGAGGTACTGTATACTTTTACTTCTGCATGAAGAACTCACTTTAACATTTCTTGTATGGCAAGTCTAGTAGTGAAAAACTCCCTTGACTTTTGTTTACCTAGAACTGTCTCAATTTCTTTTACTCTTGAAGGATAAGATTTAAAATATAACATTTTTGATTGAAAGGTATTTTTTTCTTTGAGTAGTTTAAATACATCATCACACTGTCTTCTGCCCTCCATGGTTTCTGATAAGGTATCCACTATTAATCTTATTAAGGATCACTCATTCATGATGAGTCTCTTCCTTTTTGCAGTCTCCCAGATTTTCTCTTCATTTTTGATTTTCAACAACTTGACTGTAATGTGTTTCAGTGTGGATATCATTGAATTTATGCTGCTAAGGGCTCATGAAGCTACTTGGATATAAAGATACATGTATTTCATCTAACTTGGAAAGTTTTCAGTCATTATTTCTTCAAATATTTCCCGTCTGATTTTTTTTTTCTTCTCCACTACAGGGACTCCTACAATGTGTATATTGGTTCCTTTGATAGTGTCCTACAAGTCCCTCAGGTTGTATTCATGCTGGTGACTTGGAAGGGCTAATCAGTGTCTTTAGACACCCTTAATGTCTTGTCTGAGCCTGTATGAAGGTAGCATGGGAGTGGAATGCTAAATAACAGGTATTTCTGGAGCTCTACTACCTAAGATTTTCAGTGGGTTCTCTGAAATATTGTTTCTCTTAATACATTCTATATCTACCTTGTCTGGATCTCTGGAAAGCAATAAGTCCTATGGCCTTGAAATAAAGTTTCTTCATGTTGAGTGTCTTCATCTAGCATGATCTCTAAACTCTCAGAATATAGAATTTAAAGCTGGAAGGCATGCCTTACCTTTTCCCCAACACAGATGAGAAATGCCCTATGTCCCATGCCGCAGATTCCAGCTCTCATGGCACTTATTCTGGGAAGTCTTCGGTAACTTTACATAGGCAAAACTCGTAGATTCTTTTTAAAGACCCCATAGAGTTTTGTATAAGCCCATGTTATTGCATGTAGTGGGTTGGATTACAGAGGATTATTTACGTATTAGCCTCCCCTAGTCACTTTAGGCTTCCCATAAGTATTCACTATTCATTCAAACCATGGTGCCAGGATTGATTTTGGTAAGTGAATTCATAGCCAAAATATTTATCCATCTTTGCCTTGTTATTTTACTCTTCCTAAGATCCTATTATGTTATAGGTGTGTGGTTGTTGATGATGAGCAAAACTTGAGAAGGCCTCTTTCTTCATGGAGCTGATATCTTAGTGAGGGGGTGAGGAGATATTAATCAGATCATCACAGAATGTTATATGACAAATAACAATAACATATTTATTGAGGGTTTAGGATATGTGGGGCATTAGCTTAAGAGTGTTTATACACATTAATTAATTTTTTCCTCAAAACAACTTTGGGTGTTATGGGGTATTATACTATTTTTATAGGTAAGAAAAGTGACTGGAGAAAGGCAAAGTAATTTGGCTGATGTCACACAGCTACAAAGTAGTTGCATGGTTGCATGGAGATCCCAACACTCTGAGTCCTAGTTTTCTCAGTTTCTAAAAGCAGAATGGCAAAAGTTTAGTTGTGGAGATTAAACTAAAAAAGACGACCCTGGCAAACACCCTTCTCAACAGGACTGGGTTTATAGTAGGTACTTAATAATGACAGCTGAATCACAATTGCTTTGAGACTCATGCGGGGGATTGGGTTTCCCCTCTGCCCTGTTGGTGGAATCCTCATAATAATTGCATAGGCTTCATAAGGAACTTTGAGTGGACTGATTTTGTACAGGTCCTGGGTCAGGTTTTTATGCTTCTGTATGCAAAATTTGGGTAAGTACTAGGCTCTGTACAAAGACAAACATCCAAGCCTCCCAGCCTGGAATTTAGGCCTTCTTGGAATGGTACTAACCAGCACCCAGAGCCTTGCACCCATACATGTTTCATGGCTCACTCTCTTCAAACATTCTTGAGGAGACATGCTTGCCTGCTCACACAACTTTGTTCCTGTTGTCCCCTGCCTAGCATGCCTGCCCACCCTGTCTGCATCCTCAGACAGGTAGTTTTCCCAAGTGATTCTACCCTTGTCAGAGAGAATCTGTGCATCTTCTCTGTGACTAAGTCCCAAATCAGCTCTGATCCATTCCTTATTCCAGGAGCCACAGAGAAGGGAGATTGTTGTGTGCCTGCTGGTTCTACCAGATTAGGGGCTGGGATCATGGATTTCTTTCTCTCCCACCCACCATGAAGCCTAGAAAGAAGGAAACAATGAGGATACTGACAGATTGAAGGTCATACTCTGTTCCAGAGAAAAATAGGATCTGGTGGTTAAACTCTCCTGATGTGGACATTTTATCACTTTCTCCAGTGACACAAAGTTCTGCCTTGTGGGTAAACTTCTTAAAACCAAGGTTGCCTACCCACAATGGACAGTGGAGGTCATTCATTAATAGGCAAAGTTTGTTCAACAGACTTTTCTTTAGTTTTTGATCTTTTTTGCCAAGGGAGTGAAATAGTCCTGAGACTTCATCCTTCAGCACTTGTGGCCATCCCTTGAGTGGCTATCTGCATGGACAGTGCCTGTGTCATCCCATCTTGGTGCAGGGACAACTGCTGGTTACACTGAGCCTTCTCTCAAGGGTAGATGCCCTGGCCTGGCCTTGGAGCAGATGTTAGGGGCCATTGTCAGCTCTCTGAGCACATCATCAGAATTTGGGTAAACTCCCGGGAGTAGTGTCTTGATTTGGGTTTTCTGAGCATGATGAGTCTGGGGTTGTTGATGAGGGTCTGCAGCAGGAGCCACCTTGTTCTGGACCTAGCTGAGATGCGGGGACCTAGGATAGAATCAGAGCAGATAGACTGGAGGGGCCGGGGGTAGGTGGGGGGTAGGGAGAGTTTGCCTCTGCTATTCTCAAAGGTTGTTGGAAGAGCTGCCTGGAATGAATAAAGTGTGGCAGGAGCTGGACTGTGCATCCTGGGGACATGAGGGAGATTGGAGGGATGTGAACTGTCCCACAGACCGGGTATCCATGATGCTGGAAACAGTAATGAATACATCCTGATCCCTGGAGAGGCAGGAGAGCCTCAGAGAGCTTGTGGTAAGCAACAGGGCAGAGTAATCTAAGCTTAGCTTCATCTTGGCTAAGCATCTGGCACATTGCCTGGGAATAGAGTCTCAGACAAATGGGATCTGAAGGACTCCACTAGCAGAGCTAGGATTCATTTCCAGGAACAAGGAAGGAGGTTAGTCAGCAGGACAAGGATACCAGGCTGACTGGGAGCCAAATCTCCTGAGCTCCCAGGCATAAAATATACAGAAGGAGAGCAGGAAATGGATAGTCTGGGGCACCTCAGGGATCCCAGGGAGCCTAAGGGTATTTATTTTCTGCTGTCTGAGGTCAGCATAGGATCAACCATTACCTGATGATTGATTTAGGTGCCGGTATTTGGTGGCCAGCTGCAGCTTCCTCTCCCTGTGGCCTGTGATCAGGATGTGACAAAAGCTGACAAGCACAGGGTTGGTGTGATAGTGGTCTACATAGAGCATCCCAATCCATGCCTTGAACCCTGAAATGCAAAGACAGGTCAGGCCAGGCAGTACCTCCTAAAATGGCTCAGCTTTGTACTTTTTTATGATGTAACTGCAGAGCCAGTTTGCTTCCCAGTGATGCCTGAGTCTTTGCTGAGAATCTAGAAAATGAGGTATAAAGATCTGGAAGACTGGGCACGGTGGCTCATGACTGTAATCCCAGAACTTTGGGAGGCCGAGGCAGGAGGATTGTTTGAGCCTAGGAGTTTAAGACCAGCCTGGACAACATAGCAAGACCTCATCTCTACAAAAAAAAAAAAATTAAAAATTATCTGAGTGTTGTTGCATGCACTTGTATTCCCAGCTACTTGGGAGACTGAGGCGGAAGGATCACCTGAGTCCAGTAGGTGGAGGCAGCAGTAAGCTGCGGTCGTGCCACTGCGCTCCAGCCTGGGCAACAGAGTGAGACCCTGACTCCCCCCAAAAAATCTGAAAGAACTCTTGAAGATGATATTCTAGTCTGTCTATTTTCTGGGGAACTCAAAGCTCAAAGGGGCTAGAAGCAGCTGTAGTTAATACTGTGAAAGCATCAGTACATTTACTGAATAGATAAGTAAATGAATGATCCTGGGCTAGAAATAGAACAAAATTTACTTTCACTTCCTCAGAAATAGCTTTGAATGTGTAGCATTTCAACTGAACAGAACAACTTAATAAGTCAGTTTCCAACTAACAACACTAATGATTCTGAAATATATTTTTTCTCAACATTTTCAGAACCGTGCATTCATAAATTAACATCCAACTGTTCAGATAGAATTTAGCTACCTCTCACTAGCCCCCTCCTTTATTCCTCTGCCAGATGGGCTGGAATTAATAGCCTTGAACTCCTTTCTGACTAAAGGACTGCACGTGTCTTTACTACTCAGCTCTATAGCCTCCAAGGGAAGATAAGTTCTAAGCATAAGTGCCTCTGATACTTGTCTTCCCCAGGCAGCTGCCACAGAGGGGCAAGACCAGATGTGGTCAGGTGGGGGCTGTTCACTTACCCATGTCTGCTTCCTCGTAGCCACTCTGCATGATGGTCCTGTCGATGCGTGCAATCAGCCACGTGCCCAGGATGCAGCTGATCAGCAGCCTGAAGAGACAAGCGCCCAGGCCCAGAAGCACATTGTAGAAGAACAGGAAGTAGTTGAAGTTGTGGAAAGCTTTCCTGCAGACAGAAGCCGGCCCAAGGCAGCATTCTTCAGTAGGGCAAGGTGGTTAGGCAGGTGGGCTCTGAAGTCCCCCAGACCCAGGGCCAAATCCTATAACTCCCGGCTCATTGCTTTCTGACCTTGTGCCATAAAGGGGAGCTGATTGTCCCCACCTAACAGCACTGGCTCAGATACAATGTGGCAGGCGCTGAGCACAGTGCAGGATGGATGTTGGGGGACAGGGGCGCAATTGTTTCATGCAGTTCTTGGTACTTGAGGCTTTTTTTTTGAGTTGGGGTCTTACTCTGTCACTGGAATGCAGTGGCACAATCATGGCTCAATACAGACTTGAGCACCTGGGCTCAGTTCATTCTTCCACCTCAACCTCCTGAGTAGCTGGGACTACAGGCATGCACCACTACGCCTGGCTAGTTTATTTTTATTTTTATTTTGAGTTAGAGTCTCACTCCATCACCCAGGCTGGAGTGCAGTGGCATGCTCACGGCTACCCCAGCGTCGACCTGCTGGGCTCTGGTGATCCTTCCACCTCAGCCTTCCAGGTAGCCAGAACTACAGGTGTGTGATAACACACCTGGCTAATTTTTTAGTTTATTGTAGAGACGAGGACTCGCCAAATTGCCCTGACTGGTCTCGAACCCATGGACTCGGGCAATCTACTCCCCTTGGCCTGCCAAAGTGCTGGGATTGCAGACTGAGCCACCAAGCCCAGCAGCTTTTTTTTTTTTTTTTTTTTTTTTTTATAGAGATGAGGTCTTGCTATGTTGCCCAGGTGGGTCTTGAACACCCTGGCTCAAGTGATCCTTTGGTTTCAGCCTTCCAAAGTGCTGGGATTACAGGTGTGAGCCACCATGTCTGTCCAGAAGCTTCCTATGCGAGGTGAAATCTCATGGTGCTGCAGCTAATTTAGTGGTTATAGCAGAGTGTGGGGCTTCCCCCACCCGTAGCAACAAGGACTTGTCCCCAGTCACTGGTATTCCCAAGTCTTCCAGAGGAAACTTCTCAAATGACCACCTGATCATGTGCTTTCCTGTTGCCTCTGGGATAAAGCCCAAACTTTGCCTCCTGAGTTCCAGGACCTCCTCTGACAGGGAGCGTTCTTGTCTTGTCACTTTGTGTCCCCTTCCTGCCCTCCCTGCTTAGGGAGGTGTTATATGGCAATAGCAACAATTTAAGATTCCCACTTATCTCCTGACATGTCCTGCCCTTCTGTAGCTTCCTGCCTTTATCCCTGCTGTGTTGACTGCTCCATGCACTTTCCTGGTCTGACTGTAGAAATCCTACTGTCCTACTTGACCTCAGCTCAAGCGTCCACCCCTGCCTCTCCCCTACCACCGCTGCCTCTCCTCCACCACCCTTGTGTCTCCTCCATCATTCAGGTTTCTCTCATAATCCTTTTGTACCCTCTGGAGTCCCCCGTCCTTGTGCATGCCTCATCCAGTGGGCTGAACTTCTCACAGGTCGGTTGTGTTGGGATTATCTCTTTACTCTCAAGCCCATGTTGTTCCATCCATAAGTGGATGGCTTTGAATGAATGAATTGGACAAGATGACCCTGTGCAGGGCACTACTGTTCAAAGTTCACATTTTAACACATTTCATCCTCACAAAACCTCTTTGAAGTATGCAGTTATTTGTGAATGGAGAAGCTGAGGCTCATAGATGTTTTGTAAGCTCGCACAAGGCTGCACAGCTTAAGAGGGGAAGCCAGGGTCTGGGTCCAGGCTGTGTGGCTCCAGAGCCCATTTTGATGCACTCAGTATAAACCATCCCAGGAACCAGGCAAGGGTGAAGGGGAAGGACGGAGACAGTTGAAGCCAAAGCCCTATGATTCCCTCGTTCCTTCCTTCTCTTTACCTGTTGTTGAGAGCCAAGGGCTTCTGCTTGTCAGCTGTGTCCAGCTTTGGCTGTAGAAAGAAGCTGGCAGCAATCCACATCTGCAGGATCATGAGACCAATGACGATGGATATGGTGAGGCTGAAACACAGGGTGAAATCATCCTGAGCTGGCTTTTTCCACTCTTCCAGGCCCTTCTCTGATGCTCAGTGAGAGCAGAGAGATACTGCCTACCCAGTCGAACAATGGCAGCATGAGCTCTGAGCTTTACAGTTACAAAGCATTCCCATGCCCACTGTGCAGATGGGAAAATTGAGGCTCAAAAAGGAAAGATGATGTTCCCAAGACCACATGGACAGGGCTTCTGGCTCAAGACCACCGACCATTACTCCAGAATTTCATTGATGTCCCCTTTACCAGGGGCAGAAGCTGATTAAGTGGTTTGACAGGTTGAGAATAAAAGAAGGAGAGGCGACGTGCCTGAGAAGGTTGTGAGAGAATGGACAGGACAGCTCTGTTTAGACTTGCAGGTGGCTCTAGGCAAGTGGGGAACCAAAGAGTTCAGAGCAGAGAGGTCCCCAGAGGGCACCACATGCTGCATTGACATCCCCTGAGTGGTAGAGTGGGGTAGTGTCTAAAAGGAGGCTTGGGTTTCAGAATGCCCAGCTCCAAATCCCGTCTTCTCCCTGCTTGGACAAAATGCTTTGTCTCTCCATGCCTCTATTTCCTGCCCTGAAAAATGGAAGGTAACATAAGTACCAATTGCATCAGCTATTGTAAAAAACATTGTGTAGTAAATGCTCAATGATGCCAGCATTCAGTTTGTCTTCCAGATGTGGAAACTGAGGCTCAGAGAAGTAACTTACCCCAAGTTACAAATCACAAAGCAGATCCAAAAGCTTAGCCAGGATTCCCTGCCTCTTTCCAACATACTGTCTTGTTTCTTACTTTACCTCTTTAATCCTCAGTGTTCCTAGGTGGAAAATGAACATATAAGGGAGGACCCCAAAAAACCCAGAATTTATTTATTAAAAATTGTGTAGTTATTCTTACATGTTTAAACTTCAGGCACCTTCCAAGTACTCTCCGTTTGATGCAATACACCTATCAAGACATTTTTTCCACTGCTCAAAACAGTTTTTGAACTCATGCATTTTGATGCCTCTTAGTGCTTCTGCCGTTTTTTTGTTTCACCTCTTTCAGCAAGACACTTCCCTTTGAGAACTTTTTCCATTGGGGAAACAAAAAAATTGCATTCGTGGGAGCGTGAGGCATGAGGGTCATGCTGTTTTTGGTCAACACTGCTGAACAGTGTGGTGTGGGCAGGTGAGTCACCCATCATGAAATGATGAAATGAGCAAATGCACTGAAAGAATCTCCAAAAAAAATTCACTGAAGCTGAACGCAGCCTCTCACAACAACACTAGCTGCTACACTGATGACAACGGTTTTCTAGAATACCTTCCTAGTGGGGGAAGCCTATACTACAAGGAGCCTACCCTTTCAAAGACAATTCTGGATTTTTTGGGATCCCCCCTCATACATGTATCCCACACACACACATGACTGTTAGGGTCCCATGGAACAATGGAAGAGGCAGACTTTCATAAACGGTAAGGTTCCCTTCCCTGTGAGTTTCTATGATTGCCCATCCCTGGGTCACAGCCAAGACCATAGTGCAGAAAGCAGTTGGGAGGACACTCCAGCTCCCAGGACACAGCAATGACAGGACGCTCACCCAGCACTTACATCCCGATGCCCAGTCCTTGCAGAAGCTCCAGGCCCTGGTTGTGGATGACAGGCAACACCAGGCCATACATGATCGCCAGGCCACACAGACTCTGCAACACGTGGATGATGAGGTAGCCTGAAGGCCGAGGGAGCCAGTGGTCACCAAGGTCCTTTGTGAGCTGCCCCTGTGCCCCTCCCTGCAGTCTATCCTCTATTCTCCTCCCGCCAGAGGCCCCGGCACATTTGCTCATCTGTTTCCTTTGCCTGGCAAGGCCTCCCCTGTCTTCTTGCTCTGGGTGTGGATAGTCACTGCCTCCTTTGGGCAACTACTACTCTTAGCATATACACCCTGTGGGTTCAGGACAGGGGTGAGGATGACCTAAGGTATGTGTTTCTCCCTCCATCCTGAAGGTCCCTTGAGGATAGACGCAAAGGCTGTTTCCCACTCACCTCTCCCCTTCCTACCCACAGCCAGGACTCTGCAGGTGACCAGGGAATGTGTGTGGAACTGAAGAGGTCACGTGACAGCACTTACCCCACAGAATATAGGCTATTTGCCAGCCAGAGTACGTTGCAATGGCCACCTGAGGTTTAAAAGGAAAAAGGGGTCTCAGAACAGGTAGAAACCTTCATTTCCTCTGTCGTGTGAGCCTGGCATCCCGCTTTCATTGGCGGTGCACCCACCAACTCAGTGAGGCAGGTATGGCGATCATTCTCAGGTTTTGGCCCATGGCTCAGTCTCCGAATGGAGGCCTCTGCAGACTTACCACGCTTGCCGATGAGGTGGGATTATGGAACTTCAAAGGGAGAAACTGTTTATCTCCTGCCCACAGCCTCTTCATGTGCTTTCTGAAGAAGAAGTGGGAAGTTTAGTGCTCAGAAGAAGAAGTGGGAAATTCAGTGCTCAGAACTACGAGGGCTGATGGTAAGTGGCCTGTCTGTGTTGCCTTAAAACTCTTCAAGTTTAGCCAGGTCTGGTGGCTCATGCCTGTAATCCTAATGCTTTGGGAGACTGAGGTGGGAGAATTGCTTGAGCCCAGAGTTTGAGACTAACCTGGATAATATAGTGAGTCCCTGTCTCTACAAAAAACAAACCAACAAAAAAACTCTTCAAGTTTAATATACTCTGTAAAAATAATATATATTGATTGAGTCATGATGGTGACCACATTTAATAGATGAGATTATATATGACTTTTTTCTTTATTTTTCCTTCTATAGTTTCTTATTTTTTTCTGTAATGAATATGTATTACTTATGGAATAAGATTTTAAAACAGTTGAAGCAAGGAGAAGCAATTTTGTTGATAGCCTAACCTTATAACAGCATAAAGGAAAATACAAAAGCAGCAGCAGCTCCTCCCAATCCCACCCCTAGCAAGTCGTGGCTTCCTTTTCTGATGTTCTAAGCCAGACCTTGGCCCTGTGCATGAAGATGAGGTTGACAGCATTGTGCCTTGCTTTTTTTACCTGATGTTCTGTTTCCAGCATTTGCATGTTATTTTATATTTTTCATGACCACTAAATTGGAAAGACTTAGAGTGAAATGCAAGTATCTCAATAATTTTGTTATCTATTACATGTTGAAATGATAATATTTGGGATATAATGGATTAAATAAAACATGACTAAAATTGATGTAACCAGTCTCTTTTTGCTTTCTTAAAAATAGAGGTTACTAGAAATTTCAAAATTTGTCTATGTGACTGTCATTATGTTTCTGTTTTGCAGCACTGGAGTTGAGTATGGAGTTACCAATACAACACATAACACATAGCACACACATATTTTGCATCGTGCATAGAAAATTTCTGGGAAGACTCACAGAAAAGTTAACAGTGGTTAACTTGGGAAAAAAAAAAAAAAAAAAAGAGAGAGAGAGAGACTTGAATAGGAGGAAGGCTTACTTTACAATGAATATTTTTCATAATATATATCTTTTAAAGCAGGATTTATTGAGAGGATATAAAATCTCCCACAGTGGGAGGGGACCCGAAGGGGATGCCCTATTTTTCATAATATTTTTTAAGTGCCTATATGTAGGTTAGAATAAGGTGAAAGTAAATTAAAATACTGGCAAATGCTAGTGCTTTGCAGTTTGTAGGGTGCTTTTTTACACCCATAGTTTCCTCTGCCCCATGGTGATAAGGAAGCGGGGCAGGGATCATCACTCCAGTGACCAGGGGTGAGAGGAGTAGGGACAGTCTGGGCAGGAATGCAGGCCTCTTCTCCCCAGTTGTCTCTTCCTCCCTGTGCCCTCAACTGCCCTCTTCCACATCCATGCAGCCCCATCTGCATTGTGGCTGCCCCTGGTTGTACTCAAATGTCTCACTGAATATCTCCCAGCCACATGCAGACTAATGAGGGAAGGAGGAGACGTATGCCCACATGAGGCAGGACCCAGACCACCCACAGAGTCCAGGGAGAGGAAAGAGAAAAGAGGGAGCCAGGCAGGGGTGGCAGAGAGCTGGGGTCCTTCGTGCCAGAAGAGTCTTCTCGTTGGTGCTGTCTGCAAGAGAACCACCCTTTGGGCAGGCAGTTGGAAGGGATGTAAAGGTAGGATGCTCCTGGGGCCTGGAAACTGGCCTGGGCTTCGTGAGTGAGTGAGTGACTGAGTGTGTTTGTGTGGCAGGGGTTGGAGCAGTAGATACATAAAATCCAACTGATATCTGCATGCAAATGTCCACTACATATTTAAGGCCATCCCCTCTTCCTGTACTGCTGTTCTTGAGACTGATGCTCTTGGTCTCCTTGACTCATTCTTCATCGATGTCCCCTTGAACCAGATTCACCTGCTGGGAGCCCAGTGTTACTAGCCCTGGAGAGAGGTGTCTGAGTGTGCAAGAAATAACACGGTCTCTAGGGTCACAAAGACTTGACTGTCTGCTAGTTGTTTGGACAATTTACTTAACATTGTGGAGTCTCAGTTTTCTCAACTGTGAAAATGGAGATGGATGTACTAACCCCTCAGAGTTGTGGCTAAATTCAAATAAAGATTCTAAGCATAATGTTAGCTCATTGTAAAAGCTCAAATCAATAGCCTTTTTTTTTTCTTCCCATCTAAAGATGTCGTTATTCCTGGACCTTGTATTCACTTTCTGGGCCTATATTGGGCACTGCAGGTGCTGCTGCTCAGGAATTTTGAAGGAAAAAACAAAACAAAACAAAACAAACAATACAGCCATACAGATTCCTGGTGAATGATACATGAATGACTCCTAGTGAGCTCTTACCGGTAACAAGCCAAAATGTGGAACAGATAGCTCACAGATGTGAGCGAGGCCGGCAAAATGGTTACCACCCAGACTCCTGAAATAGGAAAAGTGATGTGAGAAGCCTCAAGAATAAACAAGAAACAGAATTTTCAAAATGTAGAATCCTGCATCAAAAAGATCTAGGCAAAATCTATTATGCTTCCTTTGACACGTTTCTTATGTAAGTAAACTTTGGCTCATTTTTCTGTTTCATTTCAACTACACACACCTTTAGTATGCTTCTTGTACAATCCTTTCCTTTGGTGCTAATATTTTCATTTATAGCAAATAAAGGGAAGCAAAAATTACAGAAAACATCACTAATATTTGACTTATCATTGCCACTTTTAGGAAAGCGTTTTGGTTACATAGCAACTGGCTGCAAGGATAACTGGGACCAAGATGTCTTGGCTGTTCACTCATTCAACCTTCAACAAGTTTTTGATATTTAAAGTCTAATTTGCCTTCAGAGATATTCCAAGTGTTTGTAAGAGAGGAATGTAGAAACAGGGAAAGAAGATGATTTGTTGGTTTAAAAGCTCCTGTAGGAGCTGATTCTCAGAAGGTGCAGAAAAAAGCATTTGACAAAATCCAACATCTAACTAGAAACACTTAACAACTGCTTTCCTATTTCAGAGTAGGGTGACTATGGTTAACAGCAATGTATTATCTATTTCAAAATAGCTGAAAAGAGGATTTTGAATGTTCTCACCACAAATAAATGATAAATGTTTGAGGTGATGGATTTGCTAATTACCCGGATTTGATCATTACACGATGTTTTCATGTATCAAAACATCACATTGTGCCCTACAGTACATATAATTATTATGTATAAATTAATAACAAAATAATACTTTTAAAAAATCCACTCAACAAACTAGGAATAGAAAAGAACTTCCTCAGTTTATACCCATTAACCAACTTTTCTTCATCCTCCTATGTGCCCCTCCCTTCCTGGCTTCTGGTAACCACCAATCTACTCTTTATCGTCATGCGATCTTCCTTTTTAGCTCCCACATATGAGAGAGAACATTCAATATTTGTCTGTCTATGTTTGGTTTATTTCACTTAGCATAATGACCTCCAGTTCCATCCGTGTTACTACAAATGACAGGATTTCATTATTTTTCATGACTGAATAATGTTTCATTGTATATATATATATATATATATATATATATATATATATATATGTATATACATATATATACACATACATATATAAGTAAAACATTACTCAGCCATGAAAAATAATTAGTATAGTGTGTGTATATGTATACACAATAAACTTTATATATATATGTGTGTGTGTGTATATATATATATATATATAAAATCTCACACTTCATTCATCTGTCAGTGGACACTTAGGTTGCACACTTTGATTGATTCCATATGTTGGCTATTGTGAACAGTGCTGCAACAAACATGGGGGTGCAGATGTCTCTTTGATTTACTGATTTTCTTTCTTTTGGATATATATCCAGTAGTGTATTTGCTGAATTATATGGTAATTCTATTTTTGATTTTGGGGGAACCTTCATATTGTTTTCCATAGTGGCTTTACCAATTCACATTTCCACCAACAGCATATGAGGGTTCCCCTTTCTCTGTTTCCTCACCAGCATCTGTTATTGCCTGTCTTTTTTTATAAGAGCCATTTTAACTTTGGCAAGATGATATCTCATTGCAATTTTGATTTGTGTTTCTGTAATAATTAGTGATGTTAAACATTTTTTTCATATATCTGTTGGTCACTTCTGTGGCTTCTTTTCAGTAATGTCTATTCAGATCTTTTGCCCATTTTTAATTGGATAATTTGTTTTTTCCTATTAAGTTGTTTGAGCTCTATATATTCTGGTTATTAATCTCTTATCAGATGGGTAGAAAATTCTCAGGGCATGTTCAGGTTAGCTCCAAGTAGGTCTTAACCCAATAACCTGTGTCCTGAGCCCTTTGTCTTTCTAGTCAACACAGAGAGGTAAATCAGCTCTAATACATTTTTTTCTCCAAGTTCGGTCATCCCAGCCAGGTAATATCAATACTAGCAGCAATACACATTACACGTGTACACCTGCCATCAGTTACCAGTCCCTCGCTCAGTTTCTTATACATATGTGAGAACAGGTGGCAGACAGTTTTACCTTTGGAGACACTGATCAGCTCTTTCAATTGCAGGGCGACTGGAGTCAGGGTCCCCGTCTGGTTCATGGAGGTGATGTAGCTTTCCAGCATGTCTTCAAACATGTCCAGCTCATCTCTCACGTACACAAACACGCAGAACTCAATAACAATGAACTGAGGGGAGTACAGAGCAAAGTTTCTAAGGTCTCACCTAAGTCCAGCTCAGCGTGGGAATAACATATGAATCACGCTTTATTTTTGAGACCAGTCTCTTCCAGGTATTCAAAACTCTTCTGAAAATGACTCTAGACACTGACTACTCTAGGATGAATGGGGTTGTGAGTTCGTAGGAGACAGGAGTCACCCCACACTGTTCTTTACCCTGTGGCAAACTAGACTGGGTTCCACAAGGTCTCAAGAAACTCTTCAAACATTCATGGCATCAGAGTGAAAAGAACGACTAACTTTGAGTAAGAAGCAGTCTTGGAAACATGACAACCCTATCTCCCACCTGCTCCCCTTCACCTATTTTGACAGGAACCAAATTGGAGAAGGTGCTGCTTCCTGTACACACACTATGCTTGCCCACCATCCTATCATCCTTTTGTCATGCCATTGCTTCTACAGTTCCTACTGCCATGTAGACCATCAACGAAACTGAATTTACCTCTGCAAGCAGAGCCCAGATGCTGTCATCTTCAGGCAGCTACTTAATTGAGAAGGATTCACTAAACTTCCAGAGCACTTTTACCTTATTCTTTTTTCTCTCTTATGATGGCAGGTACCTCATACCATATATTATCTCCTTCTTTCACACCATAAGCTTCTCCCAGGCCAGGACTATGCTGAATCAGCCCTCTGTCCTCTTCCAGCCCTTAGCACTGAGCTTGGCATAGAGTAGACACTCAGTAAATATTTAAGAAACACCTTAACTCCAAGTTTGTTATTCATTGTTGCAGATAACTCTAGTGTTCCCATAAAATCCATTCTCTCTTCTTTGGGTACAAGGCTAGACTACATTTCCCAGTCTCCCTTACATTAGATGTGGTCACATGACCAGGTTTTGCCAACAAAAGAGGAGTGAAAGGAATATGTGATTCTTCTACCCTCGGTCCATGAAAGCCTCCCACAAGCATAATTTCATGTTCTTCCCCTTTCTGTTGACTGCATGCAGAAGGTTATGGGGTTCTCCTGAATGGTGAAGGCACATCATGGAAAATTCTGGGTTTCTAAATGACTGCATGGATGATTGCTATCTCCCCTACCTGAACACTCACTCAGTACTGTATTGTGGTTAAAATATACGTTATGTTGGCCATTGCCAGACCATTGCAACCATTGCCTTGTTAAGCCATTGTGTGGCCATGTGCTCTTTGAGCTATGGCCAGCCCATGTTTTCTTAAGCTTTGGCCCCCTTTCCTACTTTGGGAAGGTGAATCACCTCTTCCTCTCTCTAATTTACTTCCGAAATAAACTATATTTTCTAATCTAAAAATAATAATAATAATACATAGTGTTGAGCCAGTGAAATGTAGAGGGTTATTTGGTACTCCAGTGTAACCTAACTAATACACTCAATTAAAACCTTAATCACAGAGTTAGCTTAAATAGGCATTATTTTAGAACATTTTAAATGAGCAGAAGACAATTTAGCCTTGCCATTTGTATCCTACATTTTTGACCCTGCTGTTGACTCAGTCACTTTACCTCAGATAAATTTGACCATACAAAATGTTTTAATTCTATGCTTACTAATAAAACATTCAAATCAGAATCATGCTAACATTTAAAATTTTTTTGAAAAAACAAACTTAAGACTTTTAATATTTGATCCTTTTTTAAATTTTTTGAGTCAGACTCTCACTCTGTCGCCCAGAATGGAGTGCAGTGGCATGCTCATGGCCACCGTAGCCTTGACCTGCTGGGCTCATGGCAGGCTCATGGCCACTGTAGCCTTGACCTGCTGGGCTCAGGCAGTCCTTCCACCTAAGCCTTCCAAATAGCTGGAACTACTAACATGCATGCACCACCATGCCAAGTTAGTTTTTTGATTTATTGTAGAGATGAGGTCTCACTAAGTTGCACAAGCTGGTCTTGAACCCTGGGCTCAGGCAATCCTCTTGCCTTGGCCTCACAAAGTGCTGGAATTATAGGCATGAGCCACCATGCCCAGCCTGATCCATTTTTAAAAAATATAGCACAATAAACCAATTCCAATTAATCCACTTTTATTTTTAATTAACTAAAATTCTTTTTGTCAGAATCAATTATTTTATATTTAAATAATTTGATTTTTGTTCACAGCATAATTTACTTATTATAGTTTCTGCTATCAAAATTTTCTTTAAAGATCTTTTTTTTTCCCTACCAAGTCAACTTTTCTGGGTCAAATTTTGTATATCAAAATGTCTTCAAATACATTTTTCCTTCCATCAGTTTTTAGTCAATGATAAATTTTACCACATAGAATTTTAACCATTAACAGTTTTATTTCATGTGGATTATTTTTACTAGTAGTAGTCACCAAGTGAGTAAAAGTGTCCTTGGAATCAAAATGGTGGGGTTGAAGAATGTACTTCTGTGATTTACCAAAAATCAATTTTGACCCAGCTTTTTAGGAACATAGTATTTGCCTCAAAGACTTCATCACTCCACCCCACCCTACCCCATAAAATATAGAAAGATTTTTTTTAGAATTACTTACAAGGTATAGGCAGATAAAAGCCAACACAATTGTTCCAATCATTCTGCTAGGGAATTGAAAGTAGGGGTCCCACTCATATATCTTGGTTTGGAACCAAGACTTTTTTTTCTCTCTGTGAATGAATAAACACCAAGAAATGAGGAGCTGTGGTAGGTAAACAAATGCCCAATGCTTCTGAAAATAACCCCTTCTCCCCCACTTTATCTTGGAAGTTAGTGTAGAGAAAGAGCACTGGTAGTTTCCAATAGTAGTTTTCATTATCTCCTTGGTTTTTTGTTGCTGTTGTTTTGTTTTTTGGGGATTTTTTTGAGACAGGATCTCACTCTGTTGTCCAGGCTGTAGTGCAATGGTGTGATCCTGGCTCACACAGCCTTGACCTCCTAGGCTCAAGTGATTCTTCTATCTCAGCCTCCCTTAGCTGGGCATGGTAGTGTGTACCTGCAGCTGGGTCTACAGGTACGTGCTACCATGTCCGGTTAAGTTTTCTATTTCTTGTAGAAACAAGGGCTTCTGTGTTGCTCAGGCTGGTCTCGAACTCCTGGGTTCAAGTGATTCTCTTGCCTTGACCTCCCAAAATTCGGTGATTACAGGCATGAACCATCGTACCCAGCCTATCCCCTTCTTCTTTTTTTTTTTTTTTTTTTGAGTTGGAGACTCACTGTGTTGCCCAGACTGGAGTGCAGTGGCCACTCCCAGCCACCGCAGCCTCGACTTGCTGGGCTCCGGTGATCCTTCCGCCTCAGCCTTCCAAGTAGCTGTAACTACAAGCACGTGCTACCATGCCCGGTTAATTTTTGATTTATTGTAGAGATGAGGTCTTGCCAAGTTGCCCGGGCGGGTCTTGAACCCATGGGCTCAGGCAATCCACTCATCTCAGCCTCCCAAAGGTGCGGGATTACAGGCTGAGCCACCGAGCCCGGTTATCCCCTTATTCTTAAGAACAAAAACTAGATTTTATTTTGAACAGTAATTTCAACTAAAACGCTGACGCTTTTAACTTCTCTTCAGAGTGACCAGACTAAGTTCAGGCCAAAAGGAGATGTGACCAGAGTGTGGTGGGGAACTTTGCGGGAGGCTGCTCAGGTCAACTGACAAGCCAGGAAGGACACTTTGCCCTGCCTTCTTTTCTCCTGCCTGCTGTCTGAAATGCACAGTGGCTGGTCCAGGCTGGAGCTCTAGCAACCACATTGGACCATGAGATAGTACTGAGGATGGAAAGTACATATTAAGATGCTGAGGCAGAAAAACAGATGATCCAAGAACTGTCATAGTCCAGGGCCAGGATGGACTCCCTACCTCCAGAATTCTATTATATGAGAAAGTAAGAAATCTCTGTCCTGTGCGTATCACTGTAGTTTTGAGTTTTCTGCTATATGTTGCCAAATCTAATTTTTTTCTCTCTTATTTTTTATTTTTAAAATGTGGGGTACAATTCAGGGTTAGGTACATATGTGATCATCATACAGGTAAAGTGTGGGTACCCTTATTGATGTTATGTGTGCCCCCCTCCTCACCAAGTCTAATTCTAAACCAGGTGCTACCTTTGCCACTGTGTGGTCTCAGACAAGACATGTTCTCCCCTGGGACATATCCCTACAAGCATAGCTGCAGAGGCAAAGATGGGCTGGCCGATGTGATCTCTGAAGGTCAAGTGCTTTTGCCTAGCCAACATCTATATCCTTCTCTGTTGGGAAGAGCACCTTTAATTAGGGAAACTACCGATTCCTGTCCCTATGTCCTAGTGGGTAAGTGACCCTGACACTACTACTTCCTGGCTCTGGGGGAAGTGATGTGAGTCCATAGGCTTCTTTTCTTCCTTCAATTCATTTTGAGTGGGGTTTATGTTATTAGCAAACCAGAGTCCTGACCACTATAGTGCCAGGGTGTGTCCCATTATCCCAGGATGTGTCCCATTGTCAGGGCTCATCAGAGTTTGTGCAAACCTGAGGGTGAATGAATAAAATTGCAGCTTACTGTGGGCGAGGTGTTCTCAGGAGCTGCTTGACGTGCTCTGCTTGGTGAACTTCCAGGACAGTCTTTTCCTCCTGTGAGAAAGGAGACAGCCTTATGCTTTAGCACAAATTCTTGTTAGGGTTTTGGTCTCTTTGAGGGGCTGTGGCCACAGAAGGCAGGGATTTGGGTACAAGCTGCTCTTCTGGTTTTTGCTATTCACTTCTTGGCAAAAGAAGCAAAGTCCAATTTCCTGATAATCAAGTGCTTGCTCTCAGTAAATGCCAGAGGCCTGGTTTCCTTGACTCTTCTGCTTCCTAACTGTATGTATCACTGTTCTGGAAAACTTTTCAGATTTGGTGATTTCCTATCACAGTTCAAACAATTGTTTCAAGAATGAAACACCTCAAATCCTAGTGTTTTTACTTTTTTGTGAAAAGGAGATTCTTGGCCGGGCATGGTGGTTCACACCTGTAATCCCAGCACTTTGGAAGGCAGAGGCGAGAGGATTGCCTAAGTACAGGGGTTCAAGACCAACCTGGGCAACTTGGTGAGACCTCATCTCTACAATAAATCAAAAAATTAGCCAGGCGTGGTGGCGCACACCTATGGTTCCAGCCACTTGGAAGGCTTAGGTGGAAGGATTGCCTGAGCTCAGGAGGTCTAGGCTATGGTGGCCATGAGTGTGCCACTGCACTCCAGCCTGGGCAACAGAATGAGACTCAAACTCAAACTCAAACTAAAAAAAAAAAAAAAAAAAAGAAAGAAAAGGAGATTATTTTGTTCTTTTTTAAAATTTAGCATTTAGAAAAAGAAACTTTAATGTATGCTGTGAAATGTTTTCTTCAAGTGCAATGAGCTTTCCATAATGTCTTCTATTTGCTACATACATACCAAAAAATGTATACACATTTTAAGAGATGTTAGCTGTAATCAGAAGTGTCTGGATGCTGATGGTAACCACTTTGAGCACCTCTTGTAATTGCAGAAGTCAAACATGACTTGTATTCATCTTTTGTTATCGGTATATATTGAGTATTACAATTTTAATACAGTTTTTTTCTTTCTTAAAATGTACATACTTTTTTTTTGTTCCCCTCTGTATATTCAATGTGTAAATTCAACAAGCTAGAAGACTAGATCTTTTCTGTCCAGCATGCTGGGTAGAATTCAAAGGGTCTGGTTAGAATCCTGACTGGCTACTTACTATTTGTGAACCTCAAGCAAGTTACAGTTATATCCCCTGGGTCCCTCATCAGTAAATAAAGAAAATAGTAATACTTTCCAGGGTTATTGTGAGGATTAAATAAGATAGTGTCTATAAAGCACTCGCATGATGCCTGCTCAGGATAAGCACTCAATAAGTGATGGCTGCTATCATCATAACGAAGGAAAATTTTTCTTTAACCCTAGTAAAATCATCAAAAATGGCCATTTTTTCCATAAAGAAAAAAATCATATATTTAAATAAACTTTGGTATTTTGCAAGAAGTACTTTATCAGCTTTTGTCATTGGGAAAAATCGAGGAAGACAATTTTCATATTCAAATCTGAAAAGTTTTGAGGCCATATATAATAACTGGAACATTTTAGTGTTATTTTCTTGTTTTGTTTTTAAGCAGCCACATGGCATGTCAATCCCAGACAGGCTTGCAGCTATTCATAAACATTCTTGAATACTTAATAGAATTGTCCCTCACCGCCTGCCCACCCCCAGTTTAAGGAGTGTATAGCCAATGATGACTTTGTCCAATAAAATCTGAACGGAGGTGACAAGGTGACGTTATGGTGGAAGCTTGAAAAGCTAATGTGTACTTCACCATGTTGTCTTTCCCTGTTCCCTGTCACTGATGTTCCCAATGGTGGTTGCTCTATCAGCCCGGGTCACAAAGCGAGGAGAGATTGGGAGAGTGCCCCCAGCACACCCATGAACTTAATACTTACCGCCTGGAGCTCCCAGCCCAGCTGGACTCTCAGAGCCTTGACAAACATGTGCAGGAAGCGACCCAGCAGGAAAGTGAGGCACAGCAGTGACGGCCAGTAGAACACAAGGGTCTCGTACCTTCCCACAAACTGCAACAAAAGGAGACCACTGCATGGCTCCAGGCAGGCAGGGTTGGGCCAGCTGGCGAAGATGTGGGTGGGAATCTGCCTGCCTTAGCCTACTTCCGCCATGACCAGCTCTCTTAGGCTTGGCAGTCAGTGGCAAACCCCTGTGTCCCCAGTCCCACATCGAAAGAATGAGCAGTGGACTCAGAGCCCAGCAGCCCTGGATTCAAATCTTGGCACCCCTGTTTTATTTTATAAAACCAGTCTTTATAACTTTTTTTTCTGATTAGGAAGCTTTAGCATTTGGAAAATATGGAAAAGGGACAGAGAGGCAAAAAAGATAGTGAGATGGGAAGAGAAGGGGAAGAGGGAGAGAGAAAGAGGGAGAAAGAAGTAAAAAGAGGAATAAAGGAAAGAGGGAAGGAAGGGAGGGAGGGAAAGAAGGATGGATCGAGGGAGAGAGGGAGGGAGCAAGAGAGGGAGGTAGGGAAGGAAGGAAGAAAGATGGGAGGGAGGGAAGAAGAAATAAATAACCCATAATCGCCATAAGCCTGGGAGCAACACAGCGGACGAAAGAGTAACAGGTCTCTCGAGATGGTGTTCATAGATTTTCTATGTTTTTAGTTTCATTGTGATGAAAAAAATGTTTTTTCACTGTTTTAAGACAATACTATGACTTATCTTTCACAATTTACTGGTTGGTTTTATGTTTTATTATATTCCCACAGTCATATTCTCCCCATGGAAAATTGGGGTTTGACGTTGTGTTAGTTTGCAGGGTAGAGACACACTGATATGTGCGGGTTCCTGTCTTCCATTGATCCATATGCTTATGGTTAGACATAATCACTGTCAACACTTCACCACCCCTTCCCTTTATAGATTTCATCTATATTTATATCTACATTTATATACCTACATGCATTATAAAGTGGGGTGTTACCAGAGATACAGATCTATTTATATGCATCTATTATAATCATTTCCCCACATGGTTAAACATATTTTGCAAGCATCAGTTTTAATGCTGTATTATAGTGCATTATTTGAATGAATCAAACTTTATTTAAACTTTCCCCTAATTTTTGACATTTTAGACTCTTTCCAACGTTTGATTTTTATAAATAATGTTTCAGTGGATACTTTGAAAAACACGAGACTAAATCTTATTTCCTTAATCTGGGTCCTACTCCTATTTTTTTTTTTTGGGGGGGAGAGGTACAAATGTATGGAATATATGTGAATTTTGTTACATGCATATTGATCGACTGATAAGTCATGTCACCCTGTGAGCCTCTACTTTCTTATCAGTGAAATGGGTTAGCATATTGTCTTCAGCAGTTGTGTAAAAATTCAATGGTTAACAACTAGATAGTGCCTACACAAGTGCCTAGGCCATAGTAGGTTTCAGTGTTTGGTACTCTGAATTTAGAAGCAAGATCCTGCCCTCTCTCTCTCAGTTAACCATGAATATTTTGAATTTCAAAAGAACTCCCTGGAGACTAAAGGATCTAGGTGCCAAAGAAAATGTGGTGATCTGGAATCTCAGGCACTGTGCTTAGTGATGCAAGGGGCATCCCTGGGGACAGAGGTCTGCCAGAAAGTTCCAGTATGGAGAAGTGGAGAGAAGGCTTAGCCTCTGAGCTTCATTTTCCACTTCCATTCCACCAACCCTCTCTCTATCGCCTCCTTTCATTCTTCACAGTGACTATGCCTGAGAAAGGTTTGGCAAGGCTCCGGTGGGCTCCTGGTCCAGGTGGCTTCCATGGGCTCCCCCAGCTTGCCTGCACTTCTAGGTAGATTGTGGCATCCTTCCTTCATGTTGCTACTTTTCCTGGGGTCATTCCCAATTGCTCCTCATACAGACCCACAAGGTGGGGAAGTTCATCAAACTTAGTCTATAGATGAGGAAGGTGAGGTCCGAGTATATTATGTAACTTGTGGTAAACAGCAGAATTGGAAATGGAGACCAGTCTGGCTGACTTCAAAGTCCATTTCTTTCCATTCCACGTATCCCCTGTTAAGGAGATGAACCTGTTTCTGGAAACTCTGAGAAGGTCTTGCCTGGCAAAACTGGGAAAGGTTCTATGTATAGAGAAACTGGGGATACGTGGAATGGAAAGAAATGGACTTTGGAGTCAGTCAGACTGGTCTCCATTTCCAATTCTGCTGTTTACTACAAGTTACATAATATACTCGGACATACTTTCTTCATCTATGGACTAAGTTTGATGAACTTCCCCACCTTGTGGGTCTGTATGAGGAGCAATTGGGAATGACACAAGCTCCCCTTTGGCACATATGAGGAAGTAGAAGCCCAGAGAGTGACAGTGGCTTATCCAAAATCAACAAAGCAAGTTGGCCAGGTTAATAGGACTGAATGCCCCAAACATAGGTCAATGAGGACTTACTTGTCCGTGGGGACACTGAGAGACTTGAAGAATGGTGACAACAAACCTGCAGGAAGAGAAACAGGGTTTGGAGCCCTGGGGTTGCCACCCAGCACAGCCCCAGCAGCAGCCCCTGTGAAAATAGCCTATATCCCAACAGCCCAGACTTTCCTGCCCATCTTGGGTGGGCGGCTTCCCAGGCCTCCCTGTATTTCCCTCCCAGATCAGACACCCTGCCTGTGCCAAAGTAGGTGCACACTAATTCATTCATTCAGTGTGCCCTCATGTAGGACCCAATCTCAGAGTCCATGAGGACAGAGCAGGGAGGCCCTGAGAGGGTTCACCCTCCCTCCCATCATCATTCAGTGGGAGATGAAAGTCCAGAGTTGGCAAGGGATTTGTCCAGAGTCACACGCCAAAGCCCTGGCAGAGCCAGGATTAAGACCCAGGTCTCCTGACTTCATAGCCGAGGCTCTTCCTTCCTCTCTGGGATCTTGTCAGTAAACACTGCTCTGAAGTCACAAGCTTCAATGCTTTACCACCCCCTTCACTTGCCTCCCTCTCCCACATGCATTCCATGTCCTGTTCAAGCTTGGATCATACCCTCACATTGCCCACGCTGCTGAGTAATTCCCACAAGCCTGTTTGTTGTCTCCTAGTCAAAAGTCTATTAGAGGCTGATGAGAGGGTATCACACACCTAATCGTGGATACCCCCAATTTATATTTCTAAAAAGCAAGTCACTTACAAACCGCAATTGTAGTCATTGGCATGTCAGTTGCTTGTGAGTTTCCTGCCCATCATCCCTGAGAAGCTGGGCCTGAGCATCCCAGCCCCATAGAAAAATGCTGGGTGGGGGAAGCAGCCCAGAAAGTGAGTTAGAGGCAAGAAAATGATCCTCAGTGGCTAGAGAGGTTTCTGGGGGTTTCCATCAACAAATGCTTCCTGGTGCCAGTTCTTTGCCAGGTCTGGTGTTGGTGCTGAGGGCACAGAGTTCAATATGAAGAAGCTCTCCATCTGGAGGAGGCAATTGCCCATGGAGTAGGAACATAATACTGATCACTAAACTGTTGGTAGGGGGATGACTCACACAGGGAGCAGGAGCATAGACAAAGATCCCAGATCACAGGTCCACGATGGGCCATCTTGTTCTCCAATGTGTTCTCTGGCTCATAGTGGGGATGTGATGGAATTGTTGTTGATGGATAAAAGAATGTGGGGGAGCAGGAGTCTTGCATGACTGGAGGTGTGTTCTAGACACTGTTGGGAGATGGAGGGAAAGGGAGAGGCCAGGCTGGGATGGCCCTGAATGCCAAGCTGAGGCACATGAACTTTCTCTGAGGCTCTTGAGAGAAGCCCTCACTTGGATTGATAAGATGTACTGGATGTGTCTCCTGTCTTCCCTGGTGGGGCCCTCAGCAGTTTACAGAAATGAACTTTCCCACATTTCTAACTTCTAGAGATATTCCAATCACAAGCAGCCTCGTGTGAAGCAAACAGAATGCCGGCCTGACCTTCTGAATCCTTCAATGCAGTCCCAAGAAGGGGCCACAGCGGGACAAGTCATCCCTGTTTTCCTTGGGTCTCAGTTCTGGACAAAGGTGTCCTCGAAGAGGAGTTCCCAGATCACCCCCAGCCCTTAGTCTAGAGTTCAATTATGGTCAAAGGAGTCAGGAGAGGCAGCAGGCAGAGTTCCTCTTACCAGAGCAGAGAGTAGCAGAAGCCGAGGACGGAGCTGACCAGCCGGAACTCCGACGAGAGGCAGGCGAAGAAGGGGAAGTGGGACAGCCCAACTTCAACACCTCCAATCAAAAGCACAAAAGCTGGGGAGACAGACCAGAGATGCTGTGCGCTCTTCTTACCACCAGGCTCAGGGGAGTCTCAGGGAAGCTGCAGTGCTTCATGCTGACCACCAGTTGGAGACTTCAGGACCCAGTGAGGTGAGTGGAACAGCCCCAGTTGAGGACAAGGAGGAATGGAGGAGTGCCTTTCATTCCTTCATACAACAGACCCTTCCTGGTCTCTACTCTGGGCTTCCTATTTAGATGAAGAGGATTTGGACCCTATACTTGATTAGCTCACAGTATGATGGGTGGAAACAGACCACATAAAGAACAAACAAGTGAACAAACAAAAATGACAGAGTGAAATACTGGAGGTGCACCAGAGCAATGCAGAGAGAGGTGATGTGCTATGTGCAAAAGCCTCACGTAAACTATAGTGCAGTTTATATACCGGGGGTGCCAAAAAAAAGGGTATACATATTTTAAGTAATGTTAAGAGATGTTTGCTGTAGAAGTGGTTGGATGCTGATGGTAACCACTCTGAGCACCTCTTGTAACTGCAGGTGTCAAATGTGACTTGTATTCATCTGTGATTTTAATACAGCTTTTTCCTTTCTTAAAATGTGTATGCTTTTTTGGTACCCTCTGTAGAAGGCCATAGTTATATTAATTCCACCACTAACTAGCTCTGAGGTGGTCTAACAGAATCCAGCAAAAACTAAATAAAGGTTGCAAGATGACCTTTGCTAAATGTCTCCTTTGAGCTGGGTCCCGGGCCAGGCATGAAGGACAGGCAGCTGGACAAGTTTCTTGCTTTGAGATGGTGACAATCCAACAGGGAAGACAGATGGGAAAGTCAGTGGTATGAAATGTACTATGACAGAGGCACATTCAACCTGCTGCGGGGACACAGAAGAAGAAGCCACTGACCTCACCTGGGGACAGGGTATCTGAGAAGGCAGGGACAGGGTATCTAAGAGGGCTTCCTGGAGGTGCTGACATTTAACAAGGCAATGCAAAATACACAGGAGTTTGTAAGATGAAGAGAAGTAGGGAAGAAAGGATGCTTCTCACTCAAAGGATAGGACAGGATGGGTTGTAGCTGGTCAGTATATGAGTGGAGGTAAGGGTAGATGGCTGGCAGGAAAGAGCAACCCAAAACAATGACTGCAAGGAGAGCAGCTACAGTAGCAAAAGGTTTTCATCTCCCTGGATTCTCCTCATAGAAGCAAACAGAGCAACTAGGAAGACCAAACAAAGGACCCACAGACACCATCTCCAACAAATCTAGGTGACAAGATCCATTTGATACCAACATCTAGACACTGGACATCAGGCAGCAGAGGACAATGATCACTGACAGGACAGGAAATAAACAAGGTGAGCTCTATAATTTCCCCTACCTAGCTGCTGAATGCAGTACAGGACGGGGAAACCCAGGCAGATTCCTGAGTTGAGGAGATGGAACTGAGAGTCTAGAAAGACAAAGACAACTAGAATTCACAGGAGAGAGCGCTTCAGAGGAAGGAGCTGCACAGAGAGAGAATTCTGGGAGATGGCGATTTCTGGACAATTCCCACCGAGTCTTCAGCTGAGAACTGACCAGCATAGTTGTGTGAGGAAACTACCCAGGGCCAGGAAAGGAATCATCTAACCACCTGAAATGATTAGAGGGAATCATTCCTGCAGCATACAAAGGAATAGTGCCTGTTATCTCCAGACGGACTGAAAAACTTTATGGTGCTGAAAACATGGACAAAACATGGACTTCACTGGAATTTAAAAATTTATGCATCAAAGGACATTTTAAAGAAAGAGTTTCAGAGGATCTTATGGAGAGGAAAAAAAAGAAAGTGGAAAAACAGCCTACAGACTAAAAGAAAACAATTGCACATCATATATCTGATAAGGGTTTAATATATAAACAACAATAACAATATATAAGGAATTATATATTCATATAAGAATATATAAACAACAAAAACAAACAACTCAATTAAAAGATGGGCAAGGACTTGAATAAGCATTCTCCAAAGAAGATATACAAATGGCCAATAAGCACATAAAAAGATGTTTAGCACCATTAGTCATTAAGGAAATGCAAATTAAGACAATGAGATACTACTTCACACCTAATAGGATGGTTATAATCAAAACACACACACACACACACACACACACATTTACACACATACTCACACAGAGAAAACAAGTGTTGACTAGGTTATGGAGAAATTGGAATATTTGCACATTGCTGGTGGAAATATAAAATAGTGCAGCCACTATGGAAAACAGTGTGCCAATTACTCAAAAAGGTAAACATAGCTTTGACTCAACAAGAGACCCAGCAATTCCACTCCTAGGTATATATTCAAACATTTAAAGTGGGTACACAAAAAAAGACCAGGCACTGTGGTTCATGCCTATAATCCCAGCAATTTAGGAGGTCGAGCCAGGAGGATCTCTTGATGCCAGGAGTTTGAGACCACCCTGGGCAACATAGCAAGACTTTGTCTCTACAAAAAATAAGAAAAATTATCCAGGTGTGATGGTAGGCACCTATAGTCTCAGCTACTTGGGATGCTGAGGCAGAAGGATGGCCTGTGTCCAGGAGGTCGAGGCTGTAGTGAGCTGTGATCTTGCCACTGCATTCCAGCCTGGGTGACAGAGTGAGACCCCAACTCAAAAAATATAAAAAAATAAAAAAATTAAGTGGTGACATAAACAGATACTTGTACACCAATGTTCATTACTTACAATAGCTAAAAGATGAAAACAACCCAGTGCCCATCCATTAATAAATGGATTAACAAAATGTGGTATATATATACAATGGAGTATCAGTCATCAAAAGGAATGGGGTTCTGATTCATGCTGCAATGTGGATGACTCTTGGAAACATTATACTACGTGAAAGGATACCTGTGTCTGGCTAAAGGACAAATATCATATGACTCCACTTAAAAGAAATATCTCAAATAGGCAAATTCACAAAAATGGAAAGTAGAGTAGAGGTTACCAAGGCTTGAGGGGATGGGGAAGGGAAGTTATTGCTTAATGGTTAGAGTTCACGTTTAGTGTGATGAAAAGGTTTTGGAAACAGAAAAGAAAAAAAAAATGAATAAATTGGATTTCATCAACATTTAGAATGCAGTTCCTCAAAAGTTTGTTGGAAGAATGAAAATACAAACCATGGAGCAGGAGAAAACATGTGCAATTCATACTTATAATAATGGACTTATACCCAGAATATATAAAGAACTCTCAAAACTCAATAATAATAATAATAATAATCTCAATTTTTTAAAAACAGACAAATGATCTGAACAGGTTCCTAAAGAAGGTATAGAAAAAGCAGAGAAGCACATGAAAATATACTCTACATCATTAGTTATTATAAAAGTGCAAATTAAAACCATGATGAGATACCACTACATACTTCTTATAATCAATAAAATTTAAAAGACTGACCATAACGAGTGTTGGCAAAGATGTGGAAAAACGGAAGCTTTCATATTAATGGTGGTAATCTAAAGTGTGCAAGTACTTTGAAAAACAGTTTGACAGTTTCTTTAAGAGCACAATCTGCTTTATAATCTATATGATCCAGTCATTCCACTTAAAGGTATTCACCCAAGAAAGATGAAAGCATGGGTAACATACAAAAATTTATACACAAAAGTGCATAGCAGCATTATTTGCAATAGCTAAAAGTGGAAATAAATTAGATGTTCATCAATACGTAAATGGATAAACAAAACTGCGGTATATCCATATAGTAGAATACTATTCAGCAATAAAAAAGGATGAACTACCTGTACATGACTGAAAGAAGCCAGACCATCCTCCCCTCAAAAAAGAATACATCCTGTATGATTTCATTTATACAAAATTCTGGAAGATGAAAAGTCAAAAAAAAAAAACCGGAAACTGCAAACTAAGCAGATTAGTCATTTCCTGGAGATAGAGATGAGGAGAGGAAAGGAGAGATTACAAAGGGGAACAAGAACACTTCCAAGGTTCATTATCCTGATTATGGAGATGGTTTCATGGATGTAAACATTGGCCAAAACTTCTCAAATTGTATGAAGTATGTAGTGCATTCTTTTAGATTTAATCTATATTTCCCCAAAGACTAATGAGATGTTGGTACACTTGATCATATAGACTTGGAGCCCATGAGGAGGAACTGGGTTGGACAGAGAAGTTTGGGAATTACTGTATTAGGGACAATTTAACTTATAGATGAGAGTTGCTTCTTTAGGTAGAGCATGAGGCATGGGGGAAAGATGAGGCCTCAGGTCAACAACCAAAGAAGTAAGCATTGCTCTGGGAGAAGGAATCTTAGTGCTCATTGGTATCAAGAAGGCAGCATAACTATGACTCAGGGGAGATTTTAGAGGTTGGATGAGGTTTTCTGAGTCTTTGTCACATCATGTCTAAAGGACCTCTGAATCTAGCTGGGGGAAATCGCCACAAACAAGTTTTGAGGGGGTTGGGCAAATCACAGGCTGGGAAGAACATGACAGTTCAAAAAGATTGTCCTCTGATCCCAGAGAGTCCCTGACACATGGTCCTGAGAACAAGAGTTTCCTTGACGATGTTCTCAGCAGGTATGAGACAGCCTTAGTACCTTGGGCCCACTGCGGGACCTGCAGGGGCTTGTAGCCTTCTGAGAACAAGAACATGACCTTGTTGGCTGTGGCCCCAAAAGCAATTCCATAGGACCATCGGTTGCTAAAAGCGCTCACAAAATCCAAAGGCCTGTGAAAAACAGAAACAGTTTATGAGGCTAGAAGGTAGATTGAGACATTTCCACAGGTCATCTCCAAAGCAGATCTCACCCTGAGGAGGAATTATTGGGTAGAGAACTAATTGCAACTGACATTTCTTGGGGGTCTTCTGTGCCAGGCCTGGTGCTAGAATGGATTTAGGATACTGAAGTGAGGAAGACAAAACTCTTGTCCTGGAGGAGCTCCAAAGCTAGTAAAGGCCACAAGCAAGAACACCAGTAGCCATGACACAAAGCAAAATGGAATGAGTTCCATCTATGAGAGACACAGGCAGTATGAATCGAGAGAGCAAAACAAGGAGTATGTCCGAGTCAAGCTTGGAGAAGCCTGCCCTGTACCTAGCCACATTCTATACAAATTCTTCCTTCCAATATCCTTGATGAGGGCCTGGGTATCATTCGTTGTGCTGGTACCATGTGATTTAAGAAGCAAATAATATGCTACCCCAAAATATGCCACTCTGGCATACTGACTACTTTGAGTTAGACACTTAAAAAATAGCAGACACAAGATCACTCTGGCCTTCACACTGTTTCTTTAAAACAGGAGATTAAATTCCCATGTAGAAAAAGCCCTCTTTGTGCAAAAGGAAAATAACACTCTTATCCTTAAGGACAGGATGTTGAGGTCAAGAGAATTCTATATAGACCTTATTAAAATAACTACCTTCTAATCTCTCTTCTAATTATTTAATTGCTTTTTTATAGCTTACTTCTCTTTGTCTAATTCAGTGTATATACATTCAACTCTAACTGTATTATTTGGTCTTGATTTCCTTATGAGGGCCCTCGTGCCATGTAAAACTTATTAATAAATAATTTTCTGCTTGTTTCAGTAGCTCACGGCTGTAATCCCAGCACTTTGAGAGGCTGAAATAAGAGGATTGCCTAAGCCTACGGGTTTGAGGCCAGCCTGGGCAACACTGCGAGACCTCATCTCTACAATAAATTTTTTAAAAATTAGCTGGGTTTGGTAGCGCATGCCTGTAGTTCCAACTACTTTGAAGGCTGAAGCAGAAGGAACACCTGAGCCAAGCAGGTCGAGGCAGCAGTGGCCATGAATTTGCCACAGCATTTCAGCCTGGGCAACAGAGTGAGACTCTGACTCTAAATAAATAAATAAACAAACAAATACATAAATGTGTATGCTTTGCTATTGTTCATCTCTCTTATGTTGGTTTAATTATCAGGCCCAGTAAAAAAAGAAAAAAACACCCTAAGAGGATAGATTAAAACATTTTTCAGCCGGGCTCGGTGGCTCAGCCTGTAATTCCAGTACTTTGGGAGGCTGAGGTGAGTGGATTGCCTGAGACCGCGGGTTCGAGACCCACCTGGGCAACTTGGTGAGACCTCATCTCTACAATAAAATCAAAAATTAGCTGGGCGTGGTAGTGCGTGCCTGAAGTTCCAGCTACTTGGAAGGCTGAGGTGGAAGGATCGCCGGAGCCCAGCAAGTTGAGGCTGCGGTGGCTGGGAGCGGCCACTGCACTCCAGTCTGGGTGACAGAGTGAGACTCCAACTCAAAAAATAAAAAAAAAAATTTTTTTAATTAAAAATAAAATAAAAAATTTTTCCACCCTATATAATCCTGCCTCCCTGGTCACAGCTGACTGATCTATGGGCGATCACCTGTTTTTGGATGGGTCAATCATGTCTGGTCTTATATTTTAGATTTGTGACCCTGAGGACATGAGCCAGTTAGCTGTTAAAGTCCTGTCTGGAAGTCATACCAAGTTGGGATAAGAGGCAATGCTAGAGGAAAGTCAAGGTTATAGGGAAGCAGAGATTATAAGTCAAAGAGAAAAATAGTAACATGGTGCTGAGGGGGACCCCAGCGACACAGAGGAGCAGAGAGAGAAAGAGTCAATCTTCCACAGATTCATATCTTAATAGATTTAGTTCCATGTTTGTCAGTTTCTGTGAGATCTCTGTAAATATATTTAAAAATCCTTCCCTATCTTTTAATGTAAGCAAGCTTTAGTGGATAACTTCCACCATGCCAGATTGGCAAGAGAGTTTGGCAAAGTAATGTAGGCAAAGCAAATGGTTCAGTGCCTGGGTCATAGACAGTGACAATAAATGCTAACTGCATGACAATGATGTTGATGATGATAAGGAGTGATGAGGCAGCTATATGAACAATTAGAACTCAGGAAAAAATGTGAAAGGGGTGCAGAGACTGAAAATCGTAGAGCTAGAAAGGCCTTGGAAGCTCTTCTGGTCACCAAGATGTACTGGCACACAGTTCGTTGTACCATCCCAAGATGCCCTGCTGCCTCCAGTCACAGGGAACCCTCTTCCTCTTGCCTTCTGATGCAGTCAGAGTCCTGAGTGTAGGAAGACATTTCTCATAGTGGTCTGAGTCTCCTTGAGAGGTTTCAAGCATATCTGGGCAGCCCTGGGTGCTGAGGGTTGCAATGGCTTGGAAGCCAATTCTGAACTCTGAGAGCTTTGGTTGGGTTGGGTCAGGGAGGGGCAGGGCTGTGCCTGGTGGTGTAGAGGTGATGGGGGAGGCACCCTGAGAGCTGTCTGGCCTTAAAATTGGTGTTGGCTCCAACCACAGGGTTCCCCAAGCTGTAGAGGTTGACCCTGATTCAACTCACATGATGATTCCAAAGTGGTTCCCCAGTAGATAAGAGGTATCATCCCTCTGTCTACGATGCTCTCGTCTTTGGAGGAAGGACAAGACCAAAATGATGAAAAGCTATAAGGAAAGAAGAGAAGTGAGTAGGAATGTTCATCCTTAGCGTGACCTCAGTGCCCTCACTAAAAACAAATGTATGCATGGGCAGAGTGCTCAGAATGCCTGTGACACCTCAAACTCCAGAGTCAGGAGGCTAGCTGCATGTACCTTCGAGCTACCAGAATTTTCTGTACTGAGCTGTCCTTTGAACAGACAGAGATTCAAATCTAGTCTCTTAACACACTGGCTGAGAGGGAGACTTAGCTTCCCTGAACCTCAGTTTCCTCATCTATAAAAAGGCACTAATAACTGTCAGGTTGCAAATGTTTCTTTTCTTTTTCCTATGGATTCACTCATGTTCACACACTTGATACCCTTTTTCTCTCCTCCCTTTACTAGAAACTTCTTGAGAATTGCCTATACTTGCTGTCTCCATTTCCTTACCTCTCACTGGCTCCCCAATCTCTTAATCTGGCTCCTACTCCCATTGCTCAGCGATGGCCAAAGTCACTATTAAACAGTTATGGTCAAAGTCACTAAAAAATGACAGTTTTGTGGTTCTATTTAACATATACTTGAAGTCTGAATCTAGCTTGATCTTTCAGCAGACCACTTCCTCCTCTTGGAAGCCCACTCATCCCTAGGCCTCCATACTTTTTTGGTTTCCCCCCTTAACTCCTCATTCTCCTTTGTTGGATCATTCTTCACCAACTTATAGCTCAGTCCAAGGACCACTACTCTTTTTACCAGATCTTCTTTTTCTTGGTGATTTCATCGATGCCCACGCTTTGGAGGATTGTCGACACACAGAAGACTCATAAATGTGAATTTGCAGCCCAGACCCTACTAATGAGCTCCAGAACTGTATATCCACCTACAGTCAACATTTCTTTCTAATGTGTTAACAGTTTGTCAAAGCCTTTATGAAAAACCTCAGTGTCTTAAACCTACCCTAAACCTAGCTTTCCTCTAATTTTCTTTAGCTGGTGAATGAGGGCTGCCATCATCCTTCCTGTTGTGCAAGTTAGAAACTCAAGAGTCATCCTCAACCTCTCCCTCTCCCTCACCCCCTTACTCAGCCCACTATGAAGTCCTATTGTTTTCACCTTCTGAACTTCTGGGATTGACCATCATCTAGGATGAGCTAAAATCGCCTCTTACCCGGACCCCTGCAACAGTCTCCTAATTGGTCTCCCTGCCTCCTCTCTTGTCCACCTCCAACCAGATTGCTACAACCAAACAGAGTGATCTTTTAAAAATAAAAATCTGAGCCAGGCTCAGTGGCTCAGCCCGTAATCCCGTGCTTTGGGAGGCTGAGATGAGTGGATTGCTTGAGCCCATGGGTTCGAGACCCGCCTGGGCAACTTGGCGAGACCTCATCTCTACAATAAATCAAAAAAATTTGCTGGGTGTGGTAGCGTGTGCCTGTGATTCCAGCTACTTGGAAGGCTGAGGTGGAAGGATCGTCGGAGCCCAGCAGGTCGAAGCTGCAGTGGCCAGGAGCGGCCATTGCACTCCAGTCTGAGCGACAGAGTGAGACTCCAACTCAAAATAAATAAATAAATAAATAACAACAAAAATAAATAAATAAAATAAATAAAAAGTTGTCTTTATGCCAGAAATACTTGCATTACATCCCATTGCACTTAGAATGAAAAACAAATTCCTTGGCATAGAGCCCCACAGGGCTCTACCTGGCCTGGTCTACCTATCTTCTCAGATTCCACTCCTCAATTCTCCACTTCAGCCACACTGGCCTTCTCAGCTGCTCACACTTTCCCCTCCTCCTCTCTCCAGAGCCTCTGCACACACTCCCTGCTCTGACTGGATATCCTTAACTACATCTGTTAACTGACCTCAGCTCCAACATCACGTCCTCAGCAAAGCCTTTTTGACTCCCCTAAGAGCCAATATCCCTGACTCTTAGGCCCTTAAAAGCCTTCTTCTGTCTGTGTGTATATGTGCTTTGTTTGTTTTGCTTTGTCTTTTTGGTGCATCATGTAAGAGACTTTAGAAGGGAACTCAACTGATGTCTCTCCCTTGGTCTATTCAGGTCTCTTTAGGAGCCCCTGTGTGGCAGCAGCTCAGCTCCCCGCTCTCTCCAGTCCTCACCCCTCCCCTGCCTTTACTTACTGATGGGATGAGAGAGTAATGGAGGAAGTGCTCCATGTCCACTGAGCTGGCACAGGTGACATTTAGCTGCCTAGTCCTGAAAAACAGCCAAAAATCACATTCACATCATCGGTCACTGTAAATGCAATAATCATTAATGCTTTAACCTTAAGCATCACTGTCAGGAGTTCGGCTTGTAGCCCACTAAGACCATCTGATCTTTTTTTAACTTCACTTTCTCAGAACCAGGGCTGCTCACCTGTGGTGTATCTTTTTTATGTGAATTAATCAGCTTCCATATTTCTTTCTATAGCTTGATTAACTATTCAGCTTCCCTGCTAACTGACACTAACTCCCTCATTTCTTGACACAGCCAGGGACAGATCCTGGCCCAAAGTTCATATAATTGGGGAATTTTTTTTTTTTTTTGAGTCAGAGTTTCACTCTGTCGCCCAGGCTGGAGTGCAGTGGCACGCTGCTCACGGCCATTGCAGTCTTGACTTGCTGGGCTCAGGAGATCCTTCTGCCTCAGCCTTCTAAGTAGCTGGAACTACAGACACGCACCACGACACCCAGCTAATTTTTTTATTTATTGTAGAGATGAGGTCTCACCATGTTGCCCAGGCTGCTCTCGAATCCATGGGCTCAGATAATCCTCTTGCCTCAGCCTCCCAAAGTGCTGGGATTATAGGCATGTGCCACCACACCCAGCAATTTTTAAGAAAAATTGCAAAAATATCTTACTTAATCACATTTTAATGGAGATATATGACCATGTGAACACTTAAGTAGGGTCCTTCCACCCTCCCAGAGACTTGGAAGGGTGCAGTGCATGTAAGGAACCTGGAGATGGAAGTACCATTAGCTTCATAGGAAATCCACCTTTGGACATTGTTTTCCATAGCCAAGGTCAAGAAACATCAGCTCACTCCTGAGCCACTGCTAAGCTGTTGGGACAGGAGAGAGATTATTGAAGTCTTTGTTGTCTCCAACCCCCACCATTTGCAGAACAGGGCTGGCAGGGTCGCATGTGTGAAGTACGTGGCAGCAATTTTATGGCTTCTCTTTGAAGAGATACCACCTTTCTGGGGTTCCCACCACACTTTGTTCTTTCTGCTCTGGCTTTCATGACACCACCACAGCACACTCTTGTCATACTTCCGGATCTTTGCTCATGCCCTTCCTGACTATTGCAGCATTCATTCGATCTCCTGGGCTTCCTTCCCTGGCCAGAGCCTACTGCTCCCTCAGAAGTCCCAGGGAGGCACACTTCCTTAGATACTCCATGAGCATAGCACAATCCTCTATAATCCTTTAAAATTCCAACACTCCATAGTTATGTCTAACCTTCAGTCCAAAACAACTGATAAGTAGCGGAGTATGGGAGAATGAGATCAAACTATCAGCTATGATGAAACTGTAAAAGCCAGACTTCTGGTTTTTTGGAAGGTAAGCTAAGCACATACATCAGTCTCCCCATCCTATATAGATCTCTCGAAATAATAGAAAGGGAAGGGAGGAAGGAATAAAATATCACCATTCTTGAAAGCAAGAAGGGGACCTATCAAGGACATAGAAACTACTAGAAGCCCTTGATTGATAGATAGCAATTGGGACTAGATCAAACAGAAAAAGTGCCAGGCACAGTGGCTCATGCCTGTAATCCCAGCACTTTGGGAGGCACAGGCGAGAAGATTGCCTGAGCTCAGGAGTTCAAGACCAGCCTGGACAATTTGGCAAGACCTTGTTTCTACAATAAATAAATACATTTAAAAAACAGGCGTGGTGGTGCATGTCTGTAGTTCCAACTACTTGGAAGGCTGAGGCAAAAGGATCACCTGAGCCCAGCAGATCGAGGCTGTGGTGGCCGTGAGCATGCCACTACACTTCAACCTGGGCAACAGAGCGAGACTCCAACTCAAAAGAAAAACAATAAAAGTAAAGAGAAAAAGCATCAGCCAACATGGCCACAGACTATGGGAGCACTTAAGATGTGCTCCACATACCACCTAACTCCAGTCAGGATGGTCATCATCAATAACTCAAAAAACAACAGATACTGGAGAGGATGCGGCGAAAAGGGAACACTTCTACACTGTTGGTGAGAGTGTAAACTAATACAACCTCTGTGGAAAACAGTGTGGCGATTCTTAAAAGATCTAAAAATCTACCTCCCATATAACCCCACAATCCCCTTACCATCTGTAGAACAGGGCTGCCAGAGATTATACCGGGAGGAGCTCAAATCACTCTATGAAAAAGATGCCTGCTCATGTATGTTTATTGCAGCGTTGTTCACAAAAGCAAAAACAAGGGACCAACCATGCTGCCCATCGAAAGGGGACTGGGTAAAAATGTGGTACATATACACGATGGAATATTACACAGCCATATAGAAGGACAAAATTATGAACTTCAGAGCAACTTGGATGGACTTAGAGTCTATAATACTGAGTGATCTATCACTGAAACAAAGAACTGAGTATCACATGTTCTCACTCATAAGCGGACCTTGAACAATTACCATAATACTGTAAGAAAAGGATTGGCAATAGTAGGAAACTGCTGAGGGCAGTGGACAGGATTGGCAGTACTGAGAATCTTCCGGGAGAGCTGGGGGGACACACCTCATCAACAAGGGTACCTGCATAATAAACATTTGTATACTTAACCCTGAATTGTATCCCACATCTTTAAAATAAAAAATTTTTTAAAGAAGAAGAAGAAAAAAAAGATGTACTCCACACCCATAGCATAAGAAGCGGAAGCAGAATGGGGAAGGTAACAAACCACAGCACAATGCAATGCGGTCACACAGAGAGGGCAGCCGGGCAGGATGTTTCTGCCCAAATATCCTCCCACCTCGCTGACCGACCAGGTACAATGGGGTTTATGTCTTCAGGCATCATATATATGGATCACAGAGAGAGAGGCAGTGCCCCAGATCACAGGAAGGCCCTGGAAGGGACCAAGAGGTTCAGCAACCAGATGACAAGCTTCTGAGGAACTCCCTCTGGCAGGGCATCTCACTCAGCCCCGCTCCACTGACAGCAAGCCTCAATACTAGACATGAAGGCAGCTACCACTTTTCCCAAAGCAAACAGGCAGGAAATAGTCTCATGGAAATCCCAACCACAAAGATGAGCACACAATCAAGAGCCATCAAACATTTGAGGAAAGACTACACCACAAAAGGAAGCCAAAAATTCAGCAATTACAGAAGCATTTCCTGAGGAAATGAAGTTACTACAAGCCCGTTCTGAATTAATTACTAAAGGAAGTTTTCTATAAGAAGAATAAACCTGGGAGGATTGAGGACTGTAAACAACAAGAAGAAGCAAAGGAAGTAGCAAGACTTGCTGTTGATCCTGAGAATATATGTAAAATATTAAGTAAATTTCAATATATTTATAAATATATAAAATATTAAGTAAATTTAATATTGGTTAAATAATAAATACATTAATATATTTACTTGAACTCAATCTTAAATATATAAATTCATAAACACAAGGATTCAAAAAGCTTTCCATCTATAAAATGACCTTGAAAGAAATATTATTAGCCAGGCATGGTGATGTACACCTGTCATTCCAGCTACTTGAGAGGCTGAGGCAGGAGGATCACTTGAACCCAAGACGTTGAAGCTAAACTGAGCCATGATCATGCCACTGCACTCCAGCCTGGGCAACAGAGTGAGATCCTGACTCAAAAGAAGAGAAAAGAAATATTGGAGAAATTCTTGGGTAGTAAGAAAAATTAAGGCAAGGGGAAGCAGAAGGATTTAAAAGCAACAATGAACAGAGAAATTAGTAAAACTCTGTTAAATATCTATTCAAGTAATTATTTTAAAACAAAATGTTTGAGCCGGGCTCGGTGGCTCAGCCTGTAATCCCACGCCTTGGGAGGCTGAGGTGAGTGGATTGCCTGAGCCTGGGGGTTCGAGACCCGCCTGGGCAACTTAGTGAGACCTCATCTCTACAATAAATCAAAATGAGCCAGGCGTGGTAGCACATGCCTGTAGTTTCAGCTACTTGGAAGGCTGAGGCGGAAGGATCGCCAGAGGCCAGCAGGTCAAGGCTGCGGTGGCCGGGAGCGGCCACTGCACTCCAGTCTGGGCGACAGAGTGAGACTCCAACTCAAAAAATTTAAAAATAAATAAATAAATAAATAAATTTTTAAAAAATACCTTTAAAAAAAATGTTTGAACTGGTAATTTGGAACTAAAATACGAGGCGATATCCCACATGAGAAGAGGGAGGAGGCGGAGGTGGGTAGGAACAGGTGTGGAGCTCAGAGGAAGTCAACAGTGATCAAGTTCTCTTCGTGTTTGGGAGGAGGACACAGAACACTGTTTTCTCTATCTGGGTTTTACAAAAAAAATATGATTCTAAGTAAGTATATTTAAAATCCATGATTAATTACCAGAAGACTATGAATAGAATGCAAACCAATATCTTAAAAGTGCATATGAAAGAAAAAAAGTCAATCACACAACAAATAATCAGGAAGAGAAAAAATGAAATAAAGATAAAAAGAAAAACACCACAAAACAAAAATACCCAAAGAATAGTAATCCACCAGCAAAGAAAGCAATACAAATATTCAATAAATAATTAAAATACAACTAGTAATGATAGAAGAAATTTAGATAAGATGTTGTCTTATCTATTAAATTGGGAACTATTGAAAGTGATAACCCAGTATTACTGAAGGTTAAGACAAGTTGGTTTCATTTACTGGTGGTCACAGTGTAAACTAGTAGAACCATTCTGAAATTGATTTTGCAATATATACCAAGAGTCTTTAAAAAGCAGCAATTCCATTTCTAGAAATTCTATTTCTGAAAAATATAAGCTAAGGAAATAATCAGGGAGAATCCTAAAAATGAGAATGCTAATCTCTCTCTCTCTCTCTCTCTCTGAGCATGAACAGTAGCTACAGGGCAGCAGCAAAACACAGCTAACTATAAAAATTCTGCCTGTCACTGATGGTGGCTTAAAAATGTGCTTACTTATATTGTTAAGTAAAAATAATTAAATGAATAAATAAATAAAAGATTATGAAACTACATCATCCCAAATTCTTAAAAGGGGT